GGGGGGGGGGGGGGGGGGGGGGGGGGGGGATGGTCACCAAATGAAGTATGGTGTACCTTCAGAAGCACCCACACAACTGTGTATTACTTTACCTTGCAGCTATCACAGTGATCTCCAATGACATTGGGTTTACACTGGCAAAACCCGGAAGTGTGGTTACAAACTGCCGTGACAGTGCCACAGTCACTGCATGCACACCTTGCACAGTTCTTGGCAACAACTGCATCGCCATAGTAACCAGTCAGACAGCGGTCACAGTCATCACCTGTAGCAGCATTGGAGCACTTGAGACACTGTCCTGTTAGAGTGTCACAGCTTCCGTTTACACTAGAGTCAAGATTTCCACTGCATGTACACCTCTTGCAATAGTCTCCGGGTTGAGTTGGGTCACCATAGAAACCATCAGCGCATCTCTCACAAGTACGTCCAGTATAGCCCTCCCGACAGCTACACAGAAGCTGATTGAGAGGATCAAGAGAGCAGGAAGAGGCAAAACTATTGGAGGTGGTTCCCAAGGGGCATTCACAAATACTGCAATCCACAGGAGACCCTCCAGTGGCATCACCAAAGTAACCAGGTTCACACACCTCACAGTTCCGACCTAAAAAATGTAGAAAGGAATATGTAACAAAAGGTAAATTAAGCTACTTCACTAAATTAATGACTGCTCCATTATCTGGGCTACGTCAAAACAAAATCTCTGTCATTCTCCATCCCTGACACAAACCAAAAATCCAGTGAAAAAGATCCTATCCACAATAAATTTCATGCAGGCAGGGCTAAAAGAAAACCTAAATTCAAGCTTGCCATTTGTACAAGCAGCTCTCACACTTTGCATGCCCAGGACCTAAGCTTGCTCGTACTTAAGGTGATGTTACATGAGATGATTCTCAATGACGATTTTTAGCAGAACATAGCATTGCAACATTGTTCCAGCATTGCAAAGCTGTATTGCACTAAAAATCATCGTTGCGAATCGTCCCATGTAACACCACCTTTAGTCGATGATTTAGTTACAACATGACTTGCCTTAACCCTTGCCCCCCCCCCCTTCCAAGACCCTCCTTGGAGGGGGGAAGAGGTGTTCAACAAAATTTCACATGGGAAGGCTCTGCCCCGAGGTCCAGCTCGCTACCTTTTTATATACCATTTTTGGCAGAAAAGGTACCCTTTTTGTATACCCCTAATTCACAAATGGAACCCCTTTCCCATACATACAGTCTCAGACAAAAATAGTGGGGACACTTTCACCCAACGCTGTTTTTTTACTTCTGGCCTGTCTCCTCCTCCTCCCAATGCTGCTTACCACAGTTAACTCACCAAATCTTGCACACCAACATTGGGAGGGTGTAAAGACAGTAGTGTCCCAACAATTCTGGCTGAGACTGTAGTTTAGAACTTTGCATCCCTTTTAACTGCTGTAAATACACTGTCTTAAAAAAAAGGAATAAATCACAAAACTGGGACGTTTTCTCAACTTTTTCTCAGCCATAAAATGACTCTGTCTGCCGTTTTGAGCCTTTCTACTGACCGAAATGACAGATTTCCCTACCCTTTCAAATACTTCAATAATATTAGTAAAATACCTACCCTTTCATATACCAAAAGCCTTACCAGTCGTGTTATGTTGGCAAGAAATGCACTCTCCTGTTTCATCATGGCATTCAGAGGAATGACCAAAGCAGTTACAAGGAATACATGAACTATTGTCAGCACCTCTTGTATAACCCTTTCCACAAAGCTGAAAACAGAAAGCAAGCATCAAAATTATTCATTCAGTAACGTTTGACAACCTATCCCTCTCTGTTGAATGATAAGTGTACACAAGTGTCTTCAAGTCCTTAATTCTTATCAACTGTTCTGTTCCCATTTTTGTTCCTTTTTTTTTTTAATAGTAGGATTTTCCTTGGCAGTAAATAAATAGTCTCAACTATGCAGTCATTCTTAGCACTTCGTACAGCAAGGCACTATGAATGGCAGCTTATGAGTAGAAAACAAGAATGTACTTATAATTTCTAATATGACAGGAAAATTTATTACTTAGACTCCATCCACTAATTACCTCCCCCTCCTTATAAATGCCCTTCTTCCTCCTACGATGCCCCCTCCAAAACGGCTCCCTGCTAACAAGCCCCCACCAAGTTCCCCAAGTTATCCTTGCTTTCAGCTCCCCCTCCAAATAAGTCCCTCTCCTAGTAAGCTTCCCAGCCTTCTAAAACATCCACCTTCTGATAGGTCCAGGTGCCAGAAACACAGGGAAAAAAAATCCCTCAAGGGGCTTAGTAAGGGGAGTAAACAGAGATAAAGAGAGAGATACTGCCTACACCTCCTTAGCCTGCATAGCAACCATTTCCATTTGGTTTCGAAGCAAAGAAAGACTGAGGAACACGATTTTCGGTTTGGGCTGGCAAGAAGGAACAAGAGCAAAAAAAAGGAAATAGGGGGGAGGGGGAAGGGGAGGAGAAGGAAGAAAACCTTACCTTTCTTGCCACCCTCTTCCCACTCTTTTACTTAAGCTATTTTTTGCGCAGTCTTTAACTCTTGTTCCTTGTTCTTTGCTCCAAAACTGTACAGAAATGTTACTCAGGCTAACACCTCCAAGAGGAAATCACTTCTAGTTTAAGAACTAACCTCACAAGATGATCCAGTGGCTCTTTCTGGGCAGTTACATATTTCAACACTCCTGGCCCTTGCTACTCCCTCTACAGGTTCATCAACAGCCACATTCATGACAACATCATTAAGTGTCGCTTCTGCAACCTCTGTGCTATATGTTGCCCTCAGTTTAAGGGATTTTATATCCAGTAGCACTGACACAAAATCATCTCGAGTAACATTTGATCCACTTGCATCTTCCCATAAATTCTATGAGACACAAACGTTGTTCAATTAATCAAGGACAGTAAGGATATGTTCTATAAAACACCAAAAGTAATGATCAGAGATAAACTGAACAAAGGGCAAAAAACTTAACATAAAAAGTGGTGCCACTGAGCTCTTTCTTTATCTCACTGAATGGAATTAGGGAAGGTTGATCTCAAGCTGTGGTAAGCACATTATTTAGGCTTAAATAAATGAGTTTATGAGTTATAATGCTTTTCGGCATGAGTCAATTTACCTTCTCTTTTTGTAAAGTACCTTTATTTAATCATCATCATAACTTAACAGTTATGCGATATGTATGAATATACTTGACTACATGAACTTAGTGGCCACCTGGAAAATATGGAGCAAAAGTGTTTGCATGGTACACTGCTTAGTGTATGCATCAATGTTCACTTGCCCACTGGTATCAAAGCAGACTTTAGACTGACTAACACTAAGCTAACTCACCTCCAGAAACTGTGCTTCAATGGATGAGGTTACTCCTGGTGAAAGTTCCAGCTGTTTCTTGTACTGAACAACTTTTTTATTTTTACCCTAAAATGGCACAATCCCAAGAATCAAGTAAAGAGTGCATTTCCATTTTTTTACAGGTAGCCTGTTAAAACTGGTTGATCAAAATTGTGTTGGCTCTCATAAACATTGTTATGTGAGCTGCAAGTTCCTTCCATAGAATGTAAGTAAAGAGAAGCTAATCAAGATCATAGCTAGATACCTCAATCACGATGTCAGGTTTAGTTGTGAGTACAGGAAGGCTGCTTCCTTGAGGTATTTCATATCCTAGGGTGTACGTAAGTTTTCCACCATACAAAGTTATCTGAAAATAGGCAGGTGACACTTCATCATCATTATTCTTTATCATCACCATCATCATCAACAACATTATTACTTCCATCATAGTTACAACAACATCATATACATTGTTGTCATAATCATCACCACTATTATCCTCATGAACATTGTTGCACTGTTGTTACCATCAACATCACCGTCATCATTACTATAATCATCACCCTGACTGAAAATATGGTGTTGACACACGGAGAGTGAGAAGCTTATTGGAAGGGTTCCCACTGCATGCCTTCCAGGGTTGGACAGGATGATTCCTAGGTCAGCTATTGCCATAAGCGTGTTTTCAACTAGAGAAGCCATCTTTTGCACAAGTCAAGATGGCTTCTCAGCTGCTGACAAGCCTACATTTTTCATTAGACCCATGGCAAATATAACATTAAACATCAGTTTAGTTGCAAATTTTAGTAATACTAATAAACAAGAATGTAAGTTAAAATAAAAGCTAAAAGAAGATAATTGTAGTTAAAGAGGCAACTTATGGAACTGTGAAAAGAAAGGCTCACTGGCATTCAAACCCTGACCTCTGCAAATACCATTACAGCGCTCTAACCAATTGAGCTTTAGCAAGCCAACAAGGAGCTGGTCATCAACCTGGTTCGTAATATACTTGGGAAAAATGAAGATAAAGTGATGAATATATGAATTTCAGGCATTAAAACCGCATAGGGAAAAAATAGATGTAAAGCGGATCATCGCAGTTTAAGACCGACATAACGAAGTTAAGGTCATCGTCAAATCTGCTAACCTTCTTGCCCAAGTAATCTTTAGGTGCCACCCAGTAGACTGGTTTACCCTTATCATTCCTTTGACTGCTTATAGAGGCATACAGATTGGTGTTTCCAAGTTTCTGCACTGATGCTGGAGTGTTCTCTAAAGTCCAATCAGACATGTTGACCACTTTTGACCTGTAGAAACAACACAATCACATTTTAAAAAAGAGTATCAGTAGACTTTATTCCATATCATATGGAAGAGAGACTGGTTTCTTTGACAGCTAGCCATGTCTATGCTCTTATACACCTTGTAATGAGGTGGTTAATGACATCTGAATCAGACTGCAGAAGTTAAAACCAATGACCTGCCATAGAGAAATTATTAACCTGAAGGAAACTCAAAACATTGAGTGCTGACCAGTTAATTTAATGACTTGAAAAGTTCAAGAAACCTCTTTTCAACTAGATCCTTTTGCCAGTTGTCCTATGAGGGGGTTTACAAGGTGTGTTATGGGTAATGTTGAATGCTTAACTTTTCTTTGGGTCCCTGCGCAAGTTTTAGTGTGTGAAGGCCTTTGTTTTGATCACTGTTATACCATGAATAACATTAAGAGCTGAAGTTGATTTTCCTCTCTTACCAGAACTTGTTACTACTAAAGCAAGTGTCCGAGAGACCATTACACCAGCACTCTGTACAGCCATTTGGGTTGTTCGCATCAAGATTGAAATATCCTGCTGCACATTTATCACACCGCTGTCCAACCACCCCAGGCTGAAATGAACCATAAATAAACATTACTCAAGTTGAATACAGGGTCAAAAATTTTTATGCGTTCTAAGTAATGGCATATATAGCACCAATGTTTGCCAAACATTTGGTTAATATTTGACCATGATTAATCACGTCTCTTAATTATTTTCCCAAACTTTTGCCTTACCTTACAGAAACACTGCCCAGTAACACCATCACAGATTCTTTCATCAACTCCCCTTGCATCACACAAGTCACATTTTTGACACAAAGGGTAGTTGTAATAACCTTTTGCGCACTTATTACACTGTCGACCAGTGTGCGATGGTTTACATTTACACTGGCCCGTCTTTGCATCACAGGTTAATTGGCCATCAGCTACACCAAATCGTTC